CATTAATAATTTTCATGAATTTAATTTTCGTAAGATCCAAGTCAAATTTTGCACATTTGTGAGGAATCATCTTACCTACAATCACGTAATTTCTGTTTAATTTTCCATTGCTTATTTATCGAATGGCAACAATTTAATCAACATACGTACAGTGCGGTGAACGCCTTTAACATGGCGGCCTATGGGATTGTGCATTGTGGAATCATACGTAAGTTGATAAATGTGGTGTCATTAGTTCAATAGTGGTCGAAAAATTGAACTGAAATTATGTGCGCTGAGCAAAGATGATTTCAAATTTGCCTGTCATTTTTTACAAAGATCCATTCTAAGCTCACTTCATGAAAATTATTTATGCTACACTGAAATAGCATGTAAGGAAATTACGTCAAATGTCCGAATACTTTTTGCACGGGTCTGTACATGACACCATGTAGTCGGAATTGGTATCCCTAAAGCATATTACTACTACCACTTGAAAATTTCAGAGAAAACTTCACGTTTGTTTTCTGATTGAATACAAGAACTCCAAGATGAGTTAAGCTGTTTAAGGCCGCACGCAACAATATTCCAGCTATATGATATGTCCAGACATTTTCCAGTGATCAGCCGAAGTTCATATATATCCATCACATGAATTGCGTAGATCGATGCTCATGTTGTTGATCACTGGATTGTCTGGTCCAGACTGGATTATTTACAGACCGTGGCCATGTAGCTGGAATATTGATGAGTGCGGCGTAAAGCTCTCTCTCACTCACTCACCACATGAGGGTTATGCTTTACTTACCTTCACCGAATTCTCTTCTGTGGTGGTTAAGGCAGAATACACGGACGTTTCAGCCGGACGCTTTGATGTTAACTAACTGGTAGGAACCATAAGGCATTGTGCATCACGTGGCACTTAATGATAATTCACTTTATGTTAATTCACCTGTTGTTAATTAACGTCAGAGCAAATGAACTGAATACACGACTAAATCCTCACTGACGGGTAATCAAGCTTAACGATTCACATAGTCAATGGAAACAGTTATATAGATGTAAATATATGTTTAACCCCGTTTTAGCATGCATGTAGTTGTCTTTTGTGAGGAATGAGTGAGTGAGTGAATTGGGTTTTACGCTGATTTTAGCAATATTCCAGCAATATCACAGCGGGGGACACCAGGAATGGGCTTCACACATTGTACCCATGTGGGGAATCGAACCCAGGCCTTTTGGCGTGACGAGCGAACGCTTTAACCACTGGGCTACCCCACCGCCACTCATGGTCCAGTGAGGAGGTCCAGTGTTTCACATATTGTTTTCTCAGTAAACATCGGTTTCAAACTTGAGAAATTGTCCTGAATTTTTTTTATAGTAGAGATGCAACTGTATCTGTAGTGACCGCGTTCGGTGACAGATAGATGCCCAATGTAGAAAGGAATACAATTGTTCCCTCAGGTTTGTCGTGTGGATCAGTGAGTGAGTGAGTTTTTTTACGCCGCTTTCAGCAATATTCCAGCAATATCACGGCGGGGGACACCAGAAATGGCCTTTACACATGGTACCTATGTGGTAAATCGATCTCGGGTATTCGGCGTGACGAGCGAACGCTTCAACCACTAGGCTACCCCCACCGCCTCTGTGGGTTAATTAGTAGTGTACAGAGTTGTAAAATATGTCTTGACAGAATTAAAATAGGTTGCTTTCTTATATTGCAAAACTTCATGAACATGATCACATTACAATGTTTTAGATGAGAAATAGACATAGTTATCTTTTCCTGTCTGTGTTCACATATATCCTGCTTATTAACACTATTGGAGACAGAGCATCGGTGATATACTGTCGGGTCTATCGGAAACCAGGGACTTTGACTGGAGCGGTAAGAGGGTTCGCCCGTCACACCGAAGACCCGGGTGTGATATGGGTACAATGTGTGGAACCCATTTCTGTGCAAAAACCCACACACCCACGCCCCCACCCCGTTGTATTGCTTAATCTTACTAAAAGCGGCGTCAGACCATACCCACTCACTCACTCATAACACACTTCAATCTTCCAAACAAACACGAACATGAATGTACTCTTATATCTACATCTATATTGAAAGGTTATATTGTTAGTATTATTCAAGTCGATTCCCACATGCAAATGTATCCGATGTTCATTAACATTCATGTTGAGTGGTTCGTCTGTTTACAACAATCTGTTGCCCATATCATATAATTTCAATACCGTATTTACATTACCATGACTAACCTATCGTTTTCACTAACACTACCGACAGATCGCCAGCTACTGCTAATCAGCTGAGGCCAGTATCCAACTGAACATATACACAATGTCATTAAGTAATATTTCTCCTCTGTTTTGTTCCGGCCCGTCCAGCGGTATAAATCTTGAACACTAGCGATATGCTTTACACACCTTCACCTAATTGCATAATGTCTCTTCTGTGGTGGTTAGCCAATAATGGGCAATCAATACACGGACGTTTCAACAAATGCACTGAATATAGATTAGTAGAATCTACATACATAAAACACTACACGACTAAATATCGGTTAATCCACTGACGGTATAAATCTTGTACACTAGCTATAGGTCTGTGGATCTATACTGATTGGCTCTGTGAGTCTGTTGGGGGTAGCTTAACAAAGCGGGAACAACCGGGTTCGTTTCCCCACATGGGTACAATGGCTTGAGCTCCCAGGGGCGGTGGGGTACCCTAATGGTTAAAGCGTCCGCTCGTCACCCTGAACCCAGAGGGTTCGATTCCCTCATGGGTACAATGTGTGAAGCCCATTTCTGGTGTCCCCTGCCGTGATATTGATAGAATATTGCTAGCAGAGGCGTAAAAATAAACTCACTCAGTCTGCGTACACAATATTTTAAAGTTTCACTCCTCATTTCAAGCACAAGGCTTGCTTCGGGTTCGCCTAAAACTTGATCAAACTGTAAAGTGAATGTGATATGAAAAGTGGTATTACACGAATGTGATAAAGATGGACTAGTGTATTTACTAGGGTAGAACATGATATTTCTAATTTACAACTGCAAGGTTAATGGTCGGAAAGCGCAATCAGTTTCGACGCCGCATCCTTAAAGATTCGGCCTAAAACACTGGCGAGGTAGCAATCATAGCGTTTCAAGAAGAAGCGACAAAATCATTTCCTCGTCCATAAGAAATCTTTGCTAAAGGCGTCGATAAAAAGGTTCCGCCTATTTCATGAAAATGTATACAACGTTAACACATTTTGTGTTCTCCTTCAGATACCCAGAGTCTCTGTTTAGACATGCATCAAAGTTCATTATTATGCGTTGGTTATTCATCTACACAGATCCTCCCCTTCACAATGAAAGGGCGGTGGTGTAGCCTAGTGGTTAAAGCGACCGCTCGTCACGCCGGAGACACGGGTTCGATTCCACACTCACTCACGCACTCACTCACACAATGACATGAATCCAGAATCCATACTGTCAACCTGTGTTGTGTTGAATCCCGTCTGCTGTATGTGCCTTTTTCATGCTATGTTTACAGGTATATGTTTGGAAATAGAATCGTCGTTCGCAGATGCCCTCATGAGTTCTTGTTGAAACCGCTGTTCTACCTAAACAAGAAATAGTGCTCAGGATATTTTGCGCATTTATGCACTTCCAAAATTACGCACTTTGGATTGGATGTAGATAATGGTGGATGATCTGTGTATTCCTTGTCAGTGTTTTAGCTTGCATATTTATATAGGCGTTTTTCTTGATTTAGTTTAAAGTTTTGTTCCGCTCATGGCCGGACGTTTTTCAAGTAAAGTATGGTTCAACTCAGCGATATTCCAGCAATCTGACGTCAGTCTGTGAACTAGACCAGATAACCCAGTGATTGACATCATGAGCATCGACGCTTGTCAGCATAACAGCTGTTAACAGATTGCATTCTGGTAACAGTGTGAGTGAGATTTGTTTTACGCCGCTTTTACCAATATTCCAGCAATATTACGGCGGGGGGACACCAGAAATGGGCTTCACACATTGCATCACAGTATCCTGGTAACAGATAAGATAATTGGGAGACAGTTATGACTGACAAGAATTGGTACTTAGCATTCTGTGCTCGTCGTTCGAAGAAACTGAAAGGACCGGGAGATCAGTCTTGCATACCTACACATGAGTCTCATGAACCAGTTCAGACAATGACCTACTTTTCAGTCGTTCCGAATTTTCTCACGTGAAAGTGAAAAGAGACACTACAAACAACTATGGTTACATGAAATTCCAATTCCTTGTTTCATGCGAAAATGGTATTTACAATTGAACTTTAATTTTAAACTTTAAAAATCGGATTTCTATATTTCATGCAAAGTTTATGCAGCAAGACGTCACAGACTGCCCCTGTTTGATGAGGTCGTAAAATGATTCACAATCTATCTGGCTCACTGGTTACACCTGCTATGTGTTCTTTGCGCTTATTTAGTGTATTTTTGTAACGCACAATGTGACTGATATAATATCAATTCCGTACAAGACCGCCAAACTTTTCTCGCGGCCAAGCCTCGTTTTGAGATTTCCACGATTTCTAGATTTCCGTTTGTCAGAGCTGTACGACAGAGCACGCTGCACGACGTGTTTGCAACGATAAGAAGGAACGTAGTGTTGCAATATACAAGTGATTAGATGTATTTAATAATACGGATTGATATTTATATTATAATATTTATATATCCAGTTGAATAAGTTGGTATCAAAATTGGACTGGTTATTGTACTAAGTTGCGCAATAAGACGGAACCCAGTCAGCAGGAAACGAGACTGTTGTGTAATCAATGTTTTGACTTGTTTGTTTGAGTGTCAGGGTACCCGACGGGGTATCGGTCCCCATTATATCAATCACTGGTTCCTGTGGTTTGACGTCTTTCATTGACAGCTGGATATTCTTCGCAACGAGTGTACCTCGTACACACACATTATTATGTTATTGGTCTTACGAATTTAGTGTATTTTGCATTCAAGTGTAACCTGGTGTAGTCGTTTGGCATTGCCTTTGTCCTTTATTTTTTAAATATATTCGATTAAGAAATATATTCCTAATAGAATCTTTATGATACATCTTCAGAATAATAAAATCTTTAGTAACCTCGATCACGTGGATACTTTGCTTGTTTTGGTTACATAATCCGCGTTGGTCACCCAGCCATGCGTTTGATAAAGGCATCTGTCACCAAATTTTGGTGTCACGGAGGGTCAGTGGCATAAGAACCATTGTCAAAGAAGCACTGGTAACGTATTTGACGGCGTATCTAGTGTTCTTCTCCTGGTTCCTTGATATTTTCAATGACGACATATTTATGTGTGTTCTTGTCCTTGATGACTTCAAGCTCTATGGCATCATGGTCGTTCCATGACTGGAGCTCCCCACTTGCAAAGATGGCAAAGATGAGCGCACCTGCCACCAGAAATCCCGCACATATATACAGCACGAGACGCCATTCCTCGGCAGTTTTCTGAGAAAAGATTGGAATATTAGGTTATGATACTGACACATTTAATGAAGGATGAGTGAGGGAGTATGGTTTTACGCCGCATTTAGCAATATTCCGGCAATTTCACGGCGCGGGATACCAGAAATGGACTTCGCACACTGAACCCATGTGGGGAATCGAACCCGGGTCTTCAGCGTGACGAGCGGACGCTTGAATAACCGTGACTACGAGCCACAGCTTTCTAATGGAAATGCTAATTATCAGTCAAGAGACTCACAACACGTTGAGCTGTTATCTTCGCAGTCTTTGAATAATTTCAGTCTGTTTGTGACGACGTGCTATATTTATTTAGATGGATGGCTCATTGTTGGTTTAACGCCGCACCCAGCGGTATTCCAGCTACAATGTATATGACAACGGTATGTAAATAACCGAGTCTGGACATGACATCACAAACGACTCCGGAAGGCAACAAAAAAACTAACAAACAAAAGAAAACAAAAAACAAACTTAATAAAGACTAAATTAACTGAATACCGCTCTTGATTCTCATTTGTTGTAATTCTCATTACAATTTCTCGCGTTCTTTGGAATTGTGGCAGCGACTGATTGCAAGATGAACATTTTATATGACGAGGCGGTACGTTTTAGGTTCGAGTCGGCGGTGTTGGAATGAAAATTAAAGATGTTTTTGGGGGGTGTCGGCAATAAAGTTAGAAGGGTCGGTCGGGCGATGAGGAACACAGAAAATAAATATGCTGCCCTAAAGTGGATCACTGATTCCTCCCCTTCAAACCCATTCCGTCTTACAGATGGAATATAGTACAGCCTTAAACAACAAATAAGTAAGCAAATACTTACGTTAGGAGTGAGGGCCCCAGCTACTAGAGGGGCTATCATCCCCGGTACAGTAGCCACTGTGTTGGTTATTCCAAATAGTACACCAGAATACCTGCAAGTAACAAGCAGGTTTGCTCATAGACGAAACAAGCTAATGTACAAAAAAGCTGTCAAAATGTAGATTGTATAAAAAGCTGTATTATTTGACTTTTTTGAGAAAATATACTCGCATCGTTAATGTTAACTAAAGATAAATGGTTCAAGCACACACACACACACACACACACACACACACACACACACACACATACATACATACATACATACATACATACATACATACATACATACATACATACATATATGCTTGAGCGAATAGAAGCGACAAAACCCTTATCACATCTTTACAAAATCTCAGCTAAAAGCAGAATTGTACAATTCTGACTATATCATGAATATGCATTTGTTTCAGTAGTATAACAGCTGTGCGATGTATCCTACTCTCAATGAACATGTGATCGATTAGTTCTGTTTTATTTAAGTGATGATATACTTGGGAGCTATGTCGACATGGTTCACAAGATATGCTCCTTTGCTTATTCCCATGCATCCAACAGCAACACACAGGAAGACGACTGCGACCATCCTGTTTTCACACTTCACAAAGCCTGTTGCCACCAGGAAAACGGCAACCGATAGAAACGCTGAAGCAGAAGTAAGTGGCTCAGAACATATTTTCATGTGTTTCACGGTGGGGTAAATTAATGCAAGCAAAAGCCAGGTTGAATACCAGTTCTTGGAGTGAGTGAGTGAGTGAGTGAGGATGGTTTTACGACGCTTTTTAGAAATGATCCAGCAATATCACGGCGGGGGACACCAGAAATGGGCTTCACACATTGTATCCATGTAGGGAATCGAACCCGGGTCTTCAGCGTGACGAGCGAACGCTTTAACCACTAGGCTATCCCACTATCTCTCTAGCCTTTGGCACAGCGCTGGCAAACCAAGGATTATGCAAAACTATCATGGTACAGTACCCTCTACGTCATTCAGCGTTAGAATATAAAACTGTCAGCTCCGCGCAAGAGTGAGAGGGTATGGTTTTACGCGGCTTTAAGCAATTTAGCCTTGGACTTAAAACGTTCGCTCGTCACGCCGAAGACCCGGGTTCGATTCCCAACATGGGTACAATGTGTGAAGCCTATTTCTGGTGTCCCCCGCCCTGATATTGCTGGAATATGCCTGAAAGCGGGGTAAAACTAAACTCACTCACTCACACCATTGTGTCAAGCATATAAATATACCTGTGCTTTGCCAGATCTTCCTGACCTTTGTGGTGCCGAGTTGGGTTCTGGCTCTCACGTAGTCAGCCAACTGACCAGCCAGGACTGCCACCACAGAATGACAGACATAGGGTAGGGAGGATATCACTCCGTTCTGTAACATACATGTACATTCCGTACAGAGTGGCGCTCTGCAAAATTGACTTGGCATATTCATTAAATTAAAATTAAACTAAAATATTTTGCAAGGTGATTATGATCATGCTCGTTTCCCAGGCCCAGATTCAACTATTTCAAGAGGGATATTGCTGCCTGTGACCCTTGATCGGACCATCCAGTGAGTAACAGCACGGCAATCTTTCTCTGCAGTCAGGTTACAATGACACGTGTGGCATCAGCAATCCTAACCAACCAGTCCCGTTAATCGCCTATTGCGGCAAATATATATTGCTGGAGACCAGTTCTTACCCTTATCCATGGTTGCAATAATTGTAAAAATATGAAACATATTGTGGGACCAAAGCCTGTAATTCAAGTGATCAGCAAGCACTTCAGGAATTCAGCATTGTTCAGGCAGTGTTAGCTGATACTATTTCAAATGAAATAGCCTTAGTGTTGTGAAAACTCATTGCATTCACTGTACATACATATATCATACACGATCGCTTTCTCCTTGTCACCTATGAAACTATCACAAACATACACTGTGGATGACAAATGATGCTGGATACACCTCTCAATGTTTGAACTGAAATGGTGGAAAACGTCGCGTGGAAGATTATTGGCGAGGTTGTGAGTGAGTGAGTTTATTTTTACGCCGCTTTTAGGAACACTCCAGCAATATTACGGCGGCGGAAACCAGAACTGGACCTCGAACCACAGCCTTTGGTGTGACCACAAGGCTACTCCAGACTTGCTCCAGTAATCTATGCTAGAAGGGGAAGGAGACGAAATGGCTGGAGGTACACATGTCGGACTCAGTAAACTGGTGGATGTATCGAATGCGAGTCGTTGCTCTAAATATGAACAAACCTGGCGGATGTCGAACTTGAGAACTTCCTTCATGAAAGTAGGGAGGACAGTGATGAGAGTATAATTGGTCCAGTTGTTGCACATATGAGCCAGGATGATGGCCCACAGAGGTCCGGACTTGGCCATAGCCAACCATGGGGTCGATCGAGTCTGAAATAGAGTGTGGAAATACTTTATTCTCATCATACGCCAAAAATTACAGGTGGGTCACCTAAGGCATTTATAGAATTCCTTTATGCTGGTGATTGAGGTAATATTTGGCGTCATAATACAGAACAACGTTGCCTTAATTGAAATATCATAGCATTTTAGGAACGTTGCTCGTTGGTAAAACAGACCCAGAAATAATTTTTGTGTGTAACCTGTAACAATTCAACTCACTCAATGACACATTCATCAGGCCCTAACAAGTGCTAAAGAGTGTGTTTCTTGAAACGTACTAAATTCAATGCCTCTATAATCTGACCGCAGTTGACTCATTCACACAATACTTAAAGTGTGGCTCGGTGTTACATGATTAGGAATTGTTTATGAACGAGCCGGGACGCTGGGGTAGCCTAGTCACCCATAGACCCGGGTTCAATTCCCCATATGGGTAAAATGTTTGAAACCCATTGGTGTCCCCCACCGTGATAATGGTGGAATATTGCAAAAAGCGTCGTAAAACTCACTCACTCACTCACTTATTAACGAGCCCAATTACACAGGACTCCTAAAGTCATGCCTACCTTAACGTTCGTCTTATAGCCTATCTTCTTCTCGATATAAGCAATCTCCTTCTCAGATATAAATTTATGTTTGCGGGGATTGTCAGCAGACAGCAACATCCACAGACCAAACCACACCAAGTTTCCAGCACCTGCAGCAAAACGTGGCATCTATATATAATATGAGAGTGTATAAAAATGCAATAAGGCCCGTTGTCATAGAATCTGCTTCTCCTGTAATAATGACAGTGATGCACGTAACTACCACACGATCTTCATCTGATTGCAACCATGATTGAGTGATTTTTGTCTTTGGCCAGGAACACCTATATTACAACAGTCCAACCCGAAACCATTGTGGAATCAGACCTGAATGGAAGTTTTTAATAATCATAAAGTTATCATAGTATTCCTGTAAAGTACAAAAGTAAGAGTCGAAAGTAAAATTTGTTAATCATATCGTTGCTACTGACGACAATGGCTGCTGCTGCTGGTGGTGATGATGATGATGATGATGATGATGATGGTAATGGTGGTGTTGATGATGATTCTTGCTGAAGCAGATTTCAAATTTCCATTGTCAATTAAACTGAATTAAACATTATACCACGTAACATCATCAAGAACAAATGTAATAAGTGTTTTAGTTAAAAATAATATTTAATAGCCATACAGGAACTATACAAACCAAAGACGTAGAATATGGATCCCCAGCCGTTGTCAAACCCGTTGGCACAGAGGTACCCAGACAGTGCGAATGCGACGATAGTGCCCACGTGTGGTCCTGCAGATGATGGAAGACGATCTATCGTCAGTATACTGCAGGAATTAGTGTCAAGTGAAATATACACGTGTCTGCAATCCTCATTCATGTTGTGGGTCCAATTGTACCATCTGATTTTGTTTCTCTATGTGTGGGCGTACATCAATACAATGCGGAAGTTAATCTATGCATTTCCCTTTGAACATTCTTTTCTCAGGATTGTTATCAGGAGAATGACGTATTACATTTTCCTCACAAACAGAATACTAATGAAACAAAACAATATATATGTAACATATAATATAGTGTTATGTTTGGTATTACACTTTATCAGAAAAGTTCATATTGTAGTTCTGTTGGCTTGGAACTCAACACCAAAACAAACGCTGCAAGTCACTTCTTACCAGACAGGTGACATTTGTTACGTTTCGTTACGTTACCTGCATAGCAAACCGACATGAGTTTGCTTCTCTCGAGGGGAGGCGCCCATCTCCCCCATAGTGAATGTGTAGCAGGAAATGACACGCCCTGTGATATCCATATAAAATAGCGATAATTATACTTTATGATTTCATTAGGTTAATACAATGTAAGTATGCTGAGATAGTCTTTTAAATGCATCTGTTGAACGGTTCCACCATTATATTGTATTCATGTACCAGAAGTGTGGAATCCGTATGGGTACCGGATTAGAACAGATCCCGAGCAACCTTATTGGATCGGATAGTGCTATGATTGGTTGTTTTTGTACCGAAATGGTGTGGGGCGTTCATCATATCATTCACTGGATTGTCTGGTCTAGACCAGATTATTTTACATGACGCTGTCACACAGCTGGAAAATTCCTAACAAAAATAAACAGTAGGTGGGAGTGACATAAACTATCCACAAGGCTTTTGGACAAGACGGATGCGTCCACCTGCCCAATGGTCAAGTTTCCCTTCACGTTTATCCGTGGGTGTCCTGCATTGTCTTTTTTCGAATACTTCCAAGAGCGGACTCTCGCATAAAAGTTGCTCGATCAGAGCATCAGTATTCAAGCCCTCAGTAAATGTATCAAGACTTAGTATTTTATGGACAGTGGAATGTTCTTTCGGGAAGGATCCCGTGATAATAACATATATTATTATTATTATTATTATGGAAAAATATTCTTCGTTGATTTAAGTTATTTAGATTTCAGACGCTTATCTCCAACATATCTGATATATGGAAAGAGGACGTTGAAACTCACCGCTGCAAATCCTATGATGAATCTCAGTGCATACAAAACATACAGATTCAGACGAGCACTGACAGGAGTGAGAATGGTCCCAAGTCCGTTCACGAACATCCCAAGTCCCCACACCCGGCGAGCCCCGTATCGTCCTGCCAGCCACCCTCCGGGTATTTGTGTGAAAATGTAGCCATAGAAATACATAGCGAGAATACGAGACCTGGTGGGCTTGTCCCAGTCAAACTCTCCTCTCTGGAACGCAATCACCGGCAGTATCAATTGTGTGTACAATAATCTTGATTAAACAGAAGACAATGGAAAAAATATGTTTGATTTTTTTTTACATATATTCTCTCCTCTTTTCAAAGTAGGAAGTTTAGTGTATAACCAAATTCAACGAAACCTTACGAAGTCAATGTTTAATTTAGTATGACTGCGAAACGTTTAGAACTGTCTGTGAAAATTAAACAGCACCTCATATGCAAACCAGCTGCTTCTGAAATATGTCGATTCGTCTGCTTTTAACAAGGTTTTCACCAAATTATTTAATGAAAACGTATTTAATAAACGTAATAATAAAAATTATCATGGACTACTGAAATGACCGTTTTAAAAAGTATCTGATGTTCCATCCTCGATAATCTCCAGGGTATACGTTACGATACCCGCCACTATACCCTGGATGCATCCACGGCTTGGCCCGATGATTTTATTACCTCCCTTGGCTGGCTTTTTATCTTATCAAGTGTCTACGCTGGGAAGTTGAGTGAACGAATCACAACTTATTTTTGCTTCTTAAATTATCTAACCGTTTAAACTTGGCAACACAATTGATGCAGAGGTACCCTGAAAGAGGTAGAAGGAGTTCTTTATATGTTTTTGAAAGTTTCAGATCTGTCAATTTGTCTGTATTATTTCCTTAAAATCTGAGTGGCACTGCGAACAAACCTTCGCAACTGCGACCGCTATCTTTGTTGACACTGGCAAGCTCGGATGTAACGGCGGCTTAGCTGATTGGCTACTGTGAGAATGCGGAGCCAGCCAAGGGAGGTAATAAAATCATCAGGCCAAGCCGTGGATGCATCCAGGGTATAGTGGAGAGTGATCGTAACGTATACCCTGGATATTATCGAGGATGCAGATGTTCATGTAACCAACAACAGTTCAAAATGCAGACGTAACATCAATATGACCACCAACTACACGCACATGACATAAACAATAACACAAAGGATGACATAAAATAAAACAAAAGCCTGACAGTTATTGGATGAGCAGTTGAGAAACAAAAGAGTAAGATATGTCGGTTGAAATTAATATATTATGGATTATCTGCCCTTAGTCCCCAGACCTGTGAGTCTGGATTTCTCTGAATGCATTGATCCTCCTAACCCTGTATGGATGTTTTTTCATGACATCATAGGACGGAAATACAGCTGGTACAAAAAACCCAACTACCTAAAACATATTAGCAATAACAACAGTAACAATAACATACATTCCAACTTCACAACAGTGCGTCCAGCCGTTCTGGCTTGGGGCCCTGATAAATGTTTACCTGTGTGGTGGAGACAGCCTGTTCCAATATCCCACATGCTTCATCCACTATATTTCCGGAACTCGACGTTACATTGAGTGCAGTGCTGTTGTCTTCTGATGTGGAGTTGGACGTCGCCGACCGCACCATGCAGATGATGGCCACGCTGATGTTGACACGGGTGGCGTACAGAAACACGAAACCAAAGAAGGACACGTAGGCCAGGATCCATCGTCTGGCGAAGGGGCTAACTGCAAGGAAATATCAATCATGGTGAACAATAATGATGGCGTCGACTCAGTGAGGTATCAATACAAGGACTTTTATGTCATATTCTTTCTGTGCAATTTCACTACACATCTTATCAGCTGGCGTAAAGAAACATGAAACCAAAGAAAGACAGGTAGGCCAGAATCCCTCGTCTGGCGAAGGGGCTAACTGCAAAGAATTGTGAATCACTATGATAGAAAAAGCGGCATTTAATCAGCTACATCCTCACAAATTCTTACATTTGTTAAAACGCGAGTGTTGGGGAATTAGCTCGCTTGGCAGAGGTATGACTATACCAACCCACACACAACACAACACCTGAGTAAAATAAACAAGGAGTTTATTACACTGACAGCAGTCACAGGATGATTTTGTATAATCAGGTAATAACAGTATGGTTTACAATGAATTATTAGAACATGTTCATAATGCAATCAGATATCAAAATAAATGTAGATTCGTTACACACTACATTCATCACGATACATATTCCAATGTACACAACAATAGTTCAATATTCTACACATTACCCCAGTGGCGTTCATACAATCTACATTCTGTACAGTCACAAGACAGCATAGTGTTACATAGTTAAATAGTAATACAATAGCTAAAATATCCGAAACACTCTATACATTCTATAATAGTCACGAAACAGTGTAGTGTCAATCAGTATTAAATAAACAATCCTAAACTGTAATACAGAAGATATGAGACACATACTAAGGGATGTCTCGTTCCACATAAACCTGAAGGTATTTACAATAGATTAAAGTTAACATAGAATAGCAATGGTAAAGATTTATCGAACTTGAAGAAAGTAAAGTTACACACCTAAGTGAATTTACTAGACAGCTGATTTGTGACTGTCATCCGTATTATATACCTATTCTCGCGTTCACAGATAAAACTTACGATAACGTTGTTATTGTGAACGTGAGATTATGTCATTTAGTTGGACCGAAGCATCCATTGCCAGTCGCGAGTATGCCACGAAGGTATATGTGGCACGCAAGTGGTTTGACCAACGTGGAATACAAACAGCCGTAAAGACAGATAAACGTAATGCACCTTGGTTCTATAAGCTTTAGAGATACTGGTTCCGGATTAAGTCCGATGCTCGTTATCAATGTGACCCTTGGCAGATTTAAGATTGAGGAACGTGGTCAGTTAGTCTGTAATATTTCCAGTTTTCAATAATGCATATCGTTATAAAATATTGGTAACACTTTGTCTAGTTTTTCCGTGTTAATACATTTGTACCCAAATGTTACCTTCATCTTGTTTCAAGCACTACGATATGTGGATTTTAAACGTTCTTTTGCAAAACTCGCGACGCCAATACGTGCACAGTCTCTGTCTCCATTGAATACGTTTAGACAGTAGGCCCATTACAACCGTAGGTATTTGCACGGGTGATCGAGGAAAGAAGTGTAGTCGAGCTCGGTAAATACTCAAGATTCTTAAATCATCGTTACGAGCACCCTTGTCAAATAAACTGTAAATGCAGGTGCATGAGAAATTCCGATCTTCAGATATTCATGCATTCTCCTTACCCATATTCGTTACAAAATTTACACTTTTCCATTAAGGTTCTCCCAATCGTCCTGAAGTTTGACTGATGTCAACTACAGTTATAACGAACTCGGAGGAACCACTTATTCTAGTTCGTTAGAACCGTAGTTCGCATACACACATTTCAATTAACATATAAACATGGAATTAATTAAGCAACATCTAATTCGTAGACCTATAATTCTGTGAATTGAGAAAACAGACATTTTCTCAATGATTTCTGAATGAACATTCCGCATCTTGCTGTTTGACATGGATATTTTATGGAGATTCAATAATTGTCATGGCACGTCGGAAAATGTCAGAGGCTACAAGGTGACAAAGGAACACAGCTATGGTTCCCCACAATATCCAGGAGAAGGTTCTCTTTGGGGAAGGGTCAGTGATGGTATGGGGATACATTTCCTTGGGTTGCGAGATGGACCTCATTACCTTTCGTGTAACCTTAGTAGGACTCGGCATCAGTAGGAGATCCTTGCGAGGGCTGCTGTCCCATATTTTGATAACCATTCTCTTGTGACAAGACCCATCTTTATGGATGACAATATCAGGCCTCACAGAGCACAAGCTGTCACCCAGTTCTTGTCGAGATCATCCATTGATCTCAACCCCACTGAGCATTTGAGGGACATTTTTAGGCCGTCGTTTTCGACAGAGAGACCCACCTGTCCAGACTCTGAATTGACTGCTGCTTTGCATGAGGAATGGAACAGGATTCCACATAGTCAAATCCGGAGATTGATTCAAGGAATGAGGAGGCGTCTTGATTCAGTTGTTCGTGTGCGTGGAAAGTCAATGTTCCTTCAATTCCGTAAACAAGACGTGTACATAGTATTGATTATTTAGTCTTGGCTGAGTTCCTCCTTATCCCATTCTTTTCATTACAAGATTCATATGGTGTGGAACTAAATCTTTGACAGATTTCATGCACCAGTTACTTAAAGTTGCTCAGTTTGAGAAAATATGGGTGTTGCTTAATTAATGTCCATATGTATGTATACATCAAGTGACCGGGACAAAAAACAAAAGTGCGACATATCCGTCAGAAAATAACAAAGAAAAGAAGGAAAACGATGAAGAAATAAGGAAACACGGATGCAACGAAGAAAGACAAAGAGGGAAAACAAGGTAAAACAAAAGGGGAAACAAGGTAAGACAAGAGGAAAGCAATGGAGACAAAGAGGGAAAACAAGGTAAGACAAAGGGGAAGCAAGGTAAGACAAAGAGGGGAAACAAGGGAGACAAAGAGGGAAAATAAGGTAAGACAAAGGGGAAACAAGGTAAGACAAAGAGGGGAAACAAGGGAGACAAAGAGGGAAACAAGGTAAGACAAAGGGAGAAATAGAGTAAGGCAAAGGGGAAGCAAAGGAAGACAAAGAGGGGAAACAGGGTAAAAAGGGAGAACAAGTGAAGACAAACGGGAGAAAATAGGGAAGACAAAGAAGAAAAACAAATTAAGGAAGACAATGATGAGTAAAGCGCAAAACATAGAGGGGGAACAGGGGAAGACAAAGAAGGGAAACAAGGTAAGACAAAGAGGGGAACGGGAAGACAAAGAGGGAAACAAGGTAAGACAAAGAGGGTTAAGAAGGAAGACAGAAAGGAAACAGGGAAAAACAAAGAGGGGAAACAAGGGAACACAAAGAGGGAAAACAGTGGTAGACAAAGAGACGAAACGGCGGAAGACAAACAGGGGAACAGCGAAAGACAAAGAGGGGAATCAAGGTCAGACAAAGAGAGGAAACAGAAGAAGACGAAGAGGAGAAACATGGATAGGCAAAGAGGGGCAACCAGGTAAGATAAAGAGGGGAACCAGGGGAAAGACAAAGGGGGAAAATAAGGCAAATACGAAGAGGGGAAACAAGGGAAGACAAAGAGGGGAAACATGGTAGGGCAAAGATGGGAAACAAGGGAAGACAATTTATAGGGGAAAGCAAAGAGGGACAACCCGGGAAGACAAATAGGGGAAACAGCGAAGAGGGAAACAAGGGAATTCAAAGATGGGAAACAGTGGAAGAAAAAGATGGGAAACAGTGGAAGACAAAGCGGGGAACGGGAAGACAAAGAAGGGAGACAAAGGTAAAACAAAGGGAGAAAACAAAGGAAGACAAAGACGGGAAACAAGGTAAGACAAAGAGGGGAAGACCAGAAAAGGGCAAACAGGGAAGACAAAGAAGACGAAGTGGGGGGACAATGAAGCAGATAAATACATTTCTATTATCATTAGAAGTTTCCATTGAAAGAGGAGTACATTGTAAGATCCCCACAATATCATAAGCTTGTGTGTATGAATCACTACCCAATGGGATGCTAACATTCTAGTGACACACTCTAACTCTGACTAACCCTCTTCCTTAATAACACAGTAAGAGGCTGGGCAATGTCACCTTTTTCATCCTCCTCCTTTCCCGATTCCCTTTCAATGAAAGACTGCATTTTCTCGGTATCTCCCAGCGATTCAAAAAGTCTGTTGTAATCCACGAACTAGGGCATGAAGTGAGCTTGTCCGCGTGATAGAAACACGGATTCGTGTGGTTCCTGTTGCATAAGCACATGCGTCTTAGACACGGTCGCGCTATAGCATTAGGACGTTTCGTGATATCCATATTTGTCTTGCCAGAGGCGAACGTCAGTAACAAACGTTAGTTAGTTTTAGTTTTACGGCGCTTCTGGCAATATTCTAACAATATCACGGCTGGGGACACCAGAAATGGGTTTAAAACATTGTACCTATGTGGGGAATCGAAACCGGGTCTTCCGCATGATGAGCGCACGCTTTAACCACTAGGCTACCCCACCACCCCTCAGCAGTAAACGATTCCACGTTAATGTCCTACACAACAGTGTTTGCACTTGAAATATGTTCATATACTTCAAAGGTTATTAAGTTGGTGGGATAACATAGATGTATTGACAATAACGAAATATTACAGTTGACTGGTGTAGTTAATACTTTTGACAATGACCAGGGACTTGATTCGAAGGTCGATACGTAGTTCGACACGTGAAGATCCGGGCTAGAATTGATCTTCAGTAGTTGACTGGTGTGATTAATTCTTTTGACAATGATCAAGGACTTGATTCCAAGTTCGACCCGTGAAGATCCCGGTTAGAATTGATCTCAAGTAACCCATGCTTGTCGTAAGAGGCGACTAACGGGATCGGGTGGTCAGGCTCGCTGACTTAGTTGACACATGTCATCGTATCCCAGTTGCGCAGATCGATGCTCATGCTGTTGGAATGTCTGGTCGAGACTATTCTATTATTTACAGACGCTGCCATATAGCTGGAATATTGCTGAGTGCAGCGTTAATCAGCAAACCAACCAACCAACGATACGTAGTTTAAGGAGTGCTGATGACCTTGATAATGACCGTGTCCCTTACGTACATGAAAACAAGTTTGATAACCTTACAGTTCCTTATTACCACATTGTTACTAGATCTTGCCATTTCTGTTCTAACTGATATCAGATGATCGAATATTGCTCGTTTAAAGACAATCACTCAGCAAGTACATCGACCCGTTAAGGGTTATATTTATCGCAAACGGGTTCGCTGTATTATGTTCATGTTGTACTCAAACCTAGTCCCCAAGCGCAGCATTCATACTGAAGGGTTTAACCGCTAGGAACTCACGAACCTAGCAGGAGGATATGGGCGTTCATGTCATCAGATGTGTCTGCCCATACGTCACACAGATTCAAGGACACGTTCCCATTTCCCATTCATCTGAAATCGCCGTGGCAACAAACAGGGAGGCTTGACATGAACTTAACCACCAGTGCGCCACGTGCTAGCTTTGACCTTAGTTCGGACCTTACGATACGCCAAGTTAAGTAATTTAAATGTCTCCTTTGATCTCATAGTATCTCAGTTGACTAGTATTTAGCATTGTATCTCAGTTGACACAACCCCAGCATACGTCAGTATTAGTACAAGTAGGCGCACGCACGCACGCACACACACATACGTTGCTGAAAATGCATAGTAATGTTGAACACGAAGTCAAAGTCTTACTGTACCTCATCTCACCTGTTGGGTGCGAGCTCAGACACACGTCTTAAATAGCAGTATCACATTTGTATGATGTAATTATGAAGTGTATGACCTGTGTTTTGTTAATGATAAGCGGACACAACACAAAAAACCGTGTGACATATCTTCAGAAAGCAAAATGAGTACACCATGCAAGAATACAAATACATGTTATCATCATGGTACATCTATCATCCCGTGTACTGTCGAATACATGGTACTTAAAGCTCACACACGTGTGGACCATTGCTCATATACCTTATACCCGTGAACATCCGGGTTAGAATTGGTCTTCAGCAACCCATGCTTGACGTAAAAGGCGACTAACGCGATCGGGTGGTCAGGCTCATTAACCCGGTTGACACAAGTCATCGTTTCCCAATTGCGTAGATCGATGCTCATGCTGTTGATCACAGGGTTGTCTGGTCCAGACTTCATTATTTCAACAACAAACCAACTAACCAATCCAATACCTTATTAACTGATTTTGCACGCATTTATTAGGTCACGCTCCACGTGTTCATGCATATAGCAAGTTGATAAATCTCTAATGTCCAGGTAGGAGGCTTATTATCTTCATTTAAAACAAATAAAGTGCCCTGCTTCTGTTCTAGATGTGGATCCTGGGTTCTGGAGACGTCTGTTTTGTGTGCACAATGCAGATCAATATAAATATTGCCTTTATCCGTATGGTCAGGTCAAATTTATAATGGGCATTTGAAATGGGCTGAATTTCGCACCACGGAGGGGCACGCTGAAAGCGCTAAAATCTGAGTATTATTACCCCGGATAACCCAAGCTGCCTGAGAGACGCTAGGTTAATGGTCACATGATGTATCCCACAGGGTTCCCATTTTCTCCTGGGTGAACAGAGGCACGTTTGAATACATTCACTTGCCTGAGGTGAGACCACACGAATCACATGTGCTTTGTTGTAGGGCAGGACTG